AAGTGTGTTAAAGCATGGTTACTATAAGTACTCAGATATTTATATGAAGTACTGCATGTAAATTCTCCCTACAGCACTTTGAATGGCAGAGTTCCAAATGTCCGTGGGTTAGACTGGCACCCAGCACCATTTCCATGCCTCTTCTCCAGACCTGAATCCCCCTGCTGTCTATGACATGAGCAAACATGAGGAGTTTAGTGTTAAGAAGAGCCAGCCTGTGAGTGTGGGCTTCACAGCAGGCAGAGCGTGAGGGCCAGTTTCAGAATGAAGGTGCAGTCCCATCTGATATGCAAACACAGACATTTTTATTTTGATAGGGAAGCACACACACACTGATAGGTGCCTTGTGAACTTATGAGGCTCCTGAGAAAACCCTCCCTGGTTTCCTTGGCCCTGCAATGAGGGCACCTAATTGAAATTCTTCAAGGAAAATCCCTTTTCTTTTTTTCAGTAGCCATGGAAGGACTCAGTAAGGATTCTATACTCCCTTCTTCCCCAGACTCTGACTTTGTTCAGCCCACGTGCTGCGTGGGATGTCCAGAGGTTCCCGTGGCACGCCCTTCAGGCCTTCCTTCCTCTCAGGCTCAGTGTGGGAACAGATCCTTGCCCTCTGGATGAAGGATTCAGAGGACAACTGTCAGAGGTGACCCCACATGATGCTGGCCCTTTTGCTTGGTAGACGATTCCTGGTTCCATTCTTGAGACGCGACCTGCAGAACTCTGAGGCTGTGTTTACCTGTGGAGCTGCTCAGTTGCCCACAGTGTAAGGGGACGTGAGAAAGGACCTCCAAAATGGGCTTTCCCGTCTGCCAATGGCTGTTTCATCCCCATAAAGCCATCCGTTGGAAACCCTGCCTCTCCACGTCAAGCCACCTTCACCTCTGAATACCTTTTCTGAGTGATCCCCGGGCTAGCCGGCCGCTCTGTGGCTTGTGGTCTACCTCCCTGTGGTGAATGGCGCTAGTGAGGAGCTGGGGGCGTGAAGGGAAAGGGCAAGGCAGGACACGAGGCCAGGGAGGCTCTTGACTCCCTCCCCCCTTTCATTATGTGTGTCCACTGAGCTGTCCTGTTTCTGTTTCATGATGGGTTCTTCTGTGGCAAGCTGACCTTTCAGCTGAATAGGTCAAATTCCCACTGAGCGCTAATCCTCCACCTTCATGCCGGTGCGTCCCCTGAGGTCGCACGAGGGGCTGGCGAGGAATATGACTGGGAGTATGTGGTACATTTCCCAACAGAAGGATCGTCTTTTATTGCACTCAATTAATTCTCAAAGACGGCTGTGTGAGGTTATGCTGAAGAGTCCAGATGAGAACGTTTGTGCTGACATCGTGGAGGGGCCAAGCTCATTTTTTCAGATGCATGTTTCAGACTGTGGTTTCCTTCCAAGTCTTCCACATTTTTAATGAGAGAAAGGCCAAACGCACAGTCCTAATGATTCATCATATCATTTTGGATTTCTGAAAGAGACAATTAGAATTTCCTTTGTTGATTTAAAAAAAAAAAAATTCTCCCTTAAAGTCTCTCCCACTTAAAGTTTCTTACCATGCTAGGTGTTTGTTTTTAACCTTTATAAAACATAAGGTAGTATGGTTGTGGTGCTTGTTGGTCATTATATGCTGGGCTTAGTTTTTGTTTTAAATTGCATAAAATTTTCTTTTGAACTATTAGGTTTCATAACACTAGTTACCTTATAGTAGCGAGAAATTGTCAGTATCACATAGGTGTTCCGTAAATGTTGAATTGAATTTTAAGTTGAATTACTATCATTTGATCTTTCTTGCTTATAACAGTCTGGACAAACTGTTCAACTTACCCTCCCATCTCAGTGTCAGTGAGCTGGTGACATCATCTTCATAGACTGGAGACTGTACGTTCCGTTCATTTAGCCATGTCTTGCAAAAATAGATATCGGTGTTTCTTTTGGTTAATTTAGTTAGTGTTTTTTAAGTTTCAGAAAGTAGTTCCTTTTAATTGAACAGACAAATCAATGAAATACCTGAGTAGATCAGATGAAGCACCGGCCCCGTCAGGAATGATAAGTGTACATGCGTCTGGGCTACCAAGTGGTTTTAGATGCTGTCACTTTCCCAAATACAGAAATTCAAGAGAACCTCAAAAGCAATTTATTACTTCTCTAAGGATGATAGACCCCACTGAGGAACTGGCTCTTTAGTTTTTCTTTAGGTGTTAATGATACTCTATAAACACAATGAGATTAACATGAAGGAACAAAATAAATGTGTTCGCATCGTGTTTGAGTTATCAGCTCATTGTCTCAATTCTCAAAATGCGAACTGTGATAAGTGCAGGGTAAGAAGTCCGTATTGAACATCTCCTTGGTTAGCAGTAATGCTGGAGTGGAAGCTGCGCGCCTACCAGGGCGTAATGGACTCCTGCTTAACATATTTATGTTGGTTGTAAAATTAGGAACTGTCATTACAGCCCACATCACCTGCATAAGTGCAAAACATATAAATCAAGAGAAGTTCCAGTGTCATAAAAATGCCATTGAATAGGATAGCATGAAACTACTTACAAGACACTTGTATATTATGCTAGCATGTATGGGGATGCATGATCAGATTTCTAGGGGATTTGAAGAACAAAGAATAGCAGTGCAGGGGAGACTCACGGATGGAGGCATTTGGAGAACAGTCTGAGCACTCGTGGAGAAAGGCAGGAAATGAGAGGCCAATAGCCAGGCTTGAATAACCCCCGTGTACCCCACTGAAGACGCCTGTCTTGATGCTTCTAGAAAGTGTTTGAGCTGCCATCTGTTCTTCCTGGAGCTTGTTGCCTCTTTGGGCCTTCTAGAAAATAAGCATTCTCCTTCCATTTCCTGTGATTTTTTAGGGTCTCATTATCTGGAGGCGATTGCTCTCTTGGCCCCTTGGTAATCCAGATTTTGTAGAATAGTTTATCTTCTCTGAAATTAGTCTATTTTTTGTGAGATGCCATGGTTTATTTTGAACTTTGCAGTTGGAAGCCCTGAGGTGCCCCCTAAATTATGAACTATTAATAAGAATCTTTCTGAGTCCTAAATACTGCCTAAAAAACAGAATGGACATTTGAAGTTTTTCAACTCTCCCTTCTCTCTCCCCAAAGCCACCCACCCCCATAATCTTACCAAAAAAAAAAAAAAAAAATGCTGCAGATTTTATTCATGTGGGATCATTCACACCAAGCTACCATAATGTGCAATTAACACTCTAGAAACTGAAAACAGTATTCAGCAAGACAGCTGCATTATCAGAAATGCCAAAGGAGTTTTGAAGGGAGTAATGTGCATGTTAGAATAGGAAATTAATCAGAAACGCACGCACACACGCGCGCACACACACGCACACACACGCCGTAGTACTGTCAGTATATCTGAATATTAAAATTTTTAAAATCCTGTGTGTGTATTTGCAATAAAGTTTAATCTCAGCATAGAAGACTAATTTTTCTGTGTTAAGATCTTTAATTGTGTGTGTTTTGCTTCTGAACCAAATGATGTTAGGGCGGAGATCTCGAAAATTCTTTCCAGCTGGAATATTTTTTGATAATAATCACTCTTCAATCATATGTAATACATTTGCCCATAAAAAAATGCCCCTTTCATTCTTCTCTTGCTAATAATTATGATGCTTAATACTCATGGTGTTTTCAAAGTGCCTTCTAGGACATTACAGACACTGACTCACAATTGACAGGGTAAAGTCCCAACTTTGGCACAGCACAATGATCATAAGTACATTTATATTTTAATCCTTGCTAGGCTGTGGATTCAACTGACCAATTTAGTAACTGAAATGAAACAGAATTATCCAAGTAGCATTTTGCTGGAATTTTCCTGCCACCTTGTTGAAAATGTTTTCAGAATTAAGAAAGTAGGGGGCTTTTATTTTCAATGAGTAATAACAGGGCTTCGGGGGATAATTATTTGTCATAAAATTTTCAAAAAAATCAGAAAAAACACAGGGAATATACCTGTTGTGAATATAGAAAAGACATGAATATTTTCTGTCATAAACCACTGTAAAGCAACAGATTTTAATGATGTTTTAAAAAAAAGAATAGAAGAAAAAAAATTTAGAAGAACAGATTTAAAAGGAAATTGGTACCACATAGTGAGACTCTGTCTCAAAAAAAAAGAAATTTATAAAGAGATGACCCTCAGTTATGGATTCCACAAATATCATACATGAAGCCTACTTTTGTTAAGGATTATTGGGGTTCCTAGGGTGGCAGGTGCCTCTAGGAAAAGCATGTCAGATATACCAAGAAGAGAAAGGAGTGATTCCAAGTTAATAGAAGAGGAGTGTTGCGGAACTTGAGACGAGAAACAATCGCTGACCCAGTGAGGCACAAGTCAGCCAGGGCCCACCTGGGCTTGGCTGGTCCTGTAGGAAGATTTCTAGTGTGAATATGCAGTAAATATGAAATCCAGTCTTGGGATACTTAGCACTAGTGCAAACAGTCATTAATGGGAATCTCTTATCTAAAATGTCGTTTGGTAAATTGTAATAAAATTATTACATTGGAGAATGCAGAACACAAAATTGCTGTTTGTTGTTATCTAGCCCAGAGGATATGAAAAGTTAGGTTTTTCTGGAGGGAAAAAGGCAGGATGCAGATGCTTAAAAATATCAATACCTTACTTTTAAGCAAAGAACAGTGAACTAATTTATTTTAAAGGAATCTGAGCCCTCCTACGGTTTTACTCCAATACAGGCAAAACAACCCCAAAGACTTTCTTTAAAAGTCTGAATGTGGCTTTGTAATCTGTCTAGCAGTTGACAGTCTGAATCGGAAATTCAACCCAGGCTGTGCTTATGCTCAGAGAACCCGAAACCCAAATGATAGTAGGTGGCGTTTCAGATCTCATTGCTGTGCTAACTAGGTTGAGACGCAATTCTAGGTAGAGAGAAATTAGGCTGCACGTATGAAATCAGAGCTCCAACTTAATTTTTCTTTTCTCTTTCTTTTCCTTTCCTTCTTTTTCTTTTAAGTTATAGGTGCGCAGCGAAGGAGAAGCCCCAGTGCACTAGCCATTGAAGTATTTGAAGCACATTTGGGAAGTCACATTTTGCAGGTACCATTAAAACAAAAAGAAGCTTGCTTATATTTTACCTAGAAAAATCCCTACATTTAGCCTTTTAAAAAATAATGATTTTTAAATTTCAGCCTATGTATTGAACTGCTATTATTTATCTGAAATTCTTATGCATTTATTTTTTTCTTTTTAGAAAGCCATCCCTTGAGAGAATGTTAATGAGAAAGGGAGGGCAAGTATTATCTGTGCTGCAATAATTTAGATGGATTGCACTATTCAGTTGATGCGCAATGTGTAATAACTGGCTGTTCCCAGAATGACTGTGTGTGTGCCGTATTTGTAAGTGGATATACGTGTGTGTCTTTGGAGCTGTACATTGTTTTTGGAAGAGCAAAGTTTTGTTGCGAAAGCGCTGTGACAGTTTTACGTGTTGCCAAATTTCAGTTCTTTGCTTGAGTTTGTATCTGTAAGTGCTTCCGAGCTCAGTGTTTGCCTCTTCACATTAGAACATTTCTCAGGGTGAAATTTAAAAGTATATTTTTAAGTAAAAGTAATGAATCATAATTGGGTTTTTTTTTTCAACGAATTTCACGACAAATAAATAGGAAGGTACATTACATGGAACTGTAGTGACTTAGCCCTAGAGAAGAGTCTTTGCAAACTCAGCATCTTGCGTATTCAAAACTTTTAAGACTTTCTCAATTGAACACATTTGCCTTCACCAGCCACACATAATTGTTCTACATTGTTCGTGTTTCCAGGATAAATGTTGCCACGGCAAAACTTTCTTTTAACTAGGCTGCATATATACTTTACATGGAATTCGAGGAGTAGACGCATGTGGGGTATTTAGGCAGCATATTATATTTGGGAAAGGTGGGTTATATTTTTCACAAAATTTGGGGTAAAAGTAAGGTAAGCTCCAGAGTCCTCATCACTCAGAGTTCAGGAAAAGGGCCACTACGGTGCTTCCATTTTCTAAACAGTCACAAGTACTTTTGAAGCTAGCATATTACTCCCTTTCGTATGTATGTTTAGGAAACAGTTACCAGGTTATCCTTTAAAATTTAGCTCATGGTCAAATCCCAGTGGTTCTCCAAAGCAATTTCTCTCCTGGCAGTTTCAGAATTACCCAACACTTGCTTAAAGGATGCATTTTTGGCCTCAATCTTTGGTTTGACTAAATTAGGGTTTACAGAATCAAGTCTAGGGATTTGGGTTTTCACAACCTTTTGAGGTAAGTTTGATGTTCCATCAGGTCTGAGCTATCACAGTTTACATTTGCACATTTAAGGTCCTGGGAAGCCTTACTTTATTTTCATTTATTCTTATTTTTTGTTTTTCCATTAATACCTGTTACTATGTCACAGAAGCGATGTTTCTGGAAGCACACCTTAAGAGTTGCTATTCTATTAAGTACATAAAATTTTGAATTAACTTTGTAGAAACCTAGGATTATGTTTTTATTTTTTTTTCCCTGTATATCCTTCGTTCAGAATCTTTGTTAACATTTTTGTATGGGTCATGACATATGTATTGTTAGATCCTAATGTCATTCAGGACTATTCATATTTATATTTTTGAAGCATTTGGTCCCTATGACTGACTCATGAAAAAAATAGTTCAAAAAGTAAAAAGTAGCCTTTACATTTTTATCCTCTGAAGTCTTTTTGGAAATTATCACTCCAGAGTCTTATGGGGAAGGTGACTTAGGAGCTGCAAGAATTTAAACTGAAACAAAACTTAGAAGTTTGAATTGAACATAAGCTTAATATCAAAATATAGAATGACTGTCACAAAGGTCAATTCAACATTCTACTTTGACGAGAGAAGAACACATCTGAAGTGACGCTTCAGGCTCATCTCCATTTTGGGCTGGTCACACCCCAGTCAGACACCACACTTCAAGGAAAACCTAGACAGCTGGTGGCATGTGCAGTGGCATAACCATCCTAGTCAGTGAACTAGAAATCATGTTACATGGAGAATAGCAAAGGGCCAGGGGAAGTTGAGTTTGGAAGACACTTGACTTAAAGGGGATATGTATCGATGCCCTCTGTATATTTGAAGGGCTTATGTCAAAAAAAAAGAATTAGATATATTCTGTGGGGCTTCAGAGTGTGGAAAAACAATGAATGTGTGCAGAAAAGAAAACAATAGTTACTTTCATACAAGCAATCCCCCAAGTAGGGCCAGCCACGTTTGGAATAAGTGTGAGGCTATTGGCTTTAAGGGGAAGTGTAGCTCGCTAGGCAGGGATACTTGCAATAAAGTCAAGCATTCAGTCAGGGGGTGGTAGCTCATGCCTGTGCTCTCAGTGATTTGGGAGGCCAAAGCAGGGGGATCACTTGAGGCTTGGTTTTCGAGACCACCTCAGGCAACATAGGGAGACCCCATCTCTTAACCCTTTCCAATCCTATGTCAGACAAAAATAAACAAAAGCACTTTAATTATATTATGTGATCTAAAAGTGGATACTAAAATCATCAGGTGAGTTCATATTTAGGTTTTTCTGTTTTAGAACTGTAGGATAATTACAAGTAATCCGCCAGCCTCTTTCTCACCTAAAATAAAGAAGAGCTAGGCAGTATGCAGGTGGCAGAAAAATTAGATTGGAAAGGGTTTTAAAAAAATTAGCTGGTGTGGAGGTGCACGCCTGTAGCCCCTGCTACTCAGAGGCTGAGGAGGGCAGATCACTTGAACTCAAGGGTTTGAGATTACAGTGATCAATGATTGTGCCACTGCACTATAGCCTGAGTGACAGAATGAGACTTAGTTTTGTTAAAAAAAAAAGGGGGGGGGAGGGAAGCAGTGAGGCATCTAAGCCTTGCACTATATAATCTTGCAATTGCCATAGAAACTAGAAATTCTTATATCATTTGATTTTAATGCAAGTGGTTATAGAGTAGAAGAACTATATAACACTCTAAACACTAGAACTGTGGTCAAGAAGGATTGTGAAGTATCAGTAAGAAGGGCCTCCCCTAAGCTATCTAATTAGTTGTTTTGCCTAATTAGCAGGGAAACCCTGGAGCCCTTGTCTTTACCATATTCAGCAGCATTTCAGTGTCCTCAAGAATCAGATGGTGCCTACATTTTGTTTCATGAGGGTCTGTAGTGGAGTCATGGACCTTCATGAGGACTGGGATGAATTTCCCTTGCCTCCTTTTCCTTCACTTGCAAATATTAGCTAAAGACCTGTGCAGTCAGCAGGGTATCGATACGGCTGGTCTCTGACCCCATAGTTTATGGTCTTTCGAAGTCTCCAATGCTTGATGAGAACACAGATTCCTTCCAGGGGGCTGCTGTCCCTCCCAAGCTTATAATCGGTAGAGGAACAAAGTTTTCTAGATTGATAGAATAACTATCAGTGTGATGATCCTGTTACCTGAAAGAAGATCCTGTTATCATAGATAAGATATGTGGAGCAAAGAGAAAGTTCAGGAGAGGCAACCCTGAGGCGTGTCATCATTTAAGAGGGCAATGGAAGATTGAGAATGAGCAGACAGGAAGAGGAAACCGCAGGACTTTGATTTTGCTAGAGGATGCAATATTAATAATGTCAAGGTAACTGAGGATAAACCCTTGACAAATAGCATAGGTTTTGTCGATGGAAATACTTATAGTAAAGTGTCAGGCACAGAAGAAAAGCTGAAGAGTGAGAAGGTGTGGTAGCAGAAGCTGGTGTTACCGATAAAGGGAGGTGGGAGGTGAGAGGCTGGCGTCAAAGAGTTGTGTTCTTCATGTTGTGAGAGGATGTTTGTTTGTCTGAGATTCTCGGGCCAAAGACGTTGTGTACATTGTAAAAATAACTCTATTGGCCAATTACATGCTCCTTAGCAATCAGCCTTTTAAAAATCAATATCTTGTGATCATTTCTGTATTAAGAAAATAATTGGTTTTCATTATTCCTAATGGCTGATTATCATTCCACGCTATGAATGTATCTTATTTTCTTTAGCTATTTTCTAGCTATTGGGTATTTTGATTATATCTAAAAGTTTGCATTTCCATGCGAATACATAGTACCAACCTGTGTGTATGTGTATGTGTGTGTATTTCAATTAGAAAAGCTTAGTCTGGGTGGATTTTGCTTAAATGTATTGAATTTTTAATATGTATTAAGTCTTATGTATTGTGTGAATTAAGTTCTCTTCTTATATCATCATATACTCACATAATGCACCTATGAGATAGGTGTAGTGATTATGCACACCTTAAAATTCAGTAAACTCAGAAAGCTTAAGTAACCCAAATGCTTGTGTCTATATAGGTAACAGAGTTGTTTTTGAACCCATAATGCTGATGTGAATTTATACTTCCCAAGAAATGACAAGGGCATTTTAAAAGACATTGGCAATAAGGTGTCTGTGGCTCAGTGGGTTAGGGCGCTGGCCCCATATACCGAGGGTGGCGGGTTCAAACCCAATCCCAGCCAAACTACAACAACAACAACAAAATAGCCAGGCATTGTGGTGGGCGCCTGTAGTCCCAGCTACTTGGGAGGCTGAGGCAAGAGAATCGCCTAAGCCCAAGAGTTGGAGGTTGCTATGAGCTGTGTGACGCCATGGCACTGTACCAAGGGTGATAAAGTGAGACTCTGTCTCAAAAAAAAAAAAAGAAAGAATGAAGATGTTTGTAGTTGGAAAGAACAGGATTGGAGAACTGATTGAGCTGGGAAGGTGAAATAGAGGTCAGTTCTGAATACCAGTATAGTGTTCAGAAAATGCCTATGGCTTCACTGCAGCAGGCACCAAGCTTCCTTTTTGCTATGTGCCCTGGATTGTTTCACTGAAGCACGTTTGCTAAGTACCCCTTGATGTGGAGGATTTAAGGTAGCAAGTAAGGGTAGACTTCTTAATGTTTGGTGTACCCATTACCTGACTATAACATGTGTTTTGCTGGGTATGCCTAATTAGCCATGTAGTCTCATATGAAAAATAAGTAAGTTTGGTGGGATCACCAAAAATTTGAGTACTTTTCCACTGACAGGGGAAAAATATCAAACCTAATGGCGATCCTTGTAAAATCAACTCTTG